ATAGATCAGGAAGTGAGACCTGCAGAGTCAGTTCCTCCCCACAGGTTGAGGTGCTGAGTTCAATGTGCTGCTCATCTGCCCCCTCACGTGGAGGAGGCGGGGCTTTTTACACACACCTGCCCGCTCTTCGATCCACACGAAATAAATTCGTCTTTGGGGCTTCGACACGCTGGAGGAGGTCCAGCTAATGTGTCAGATGTCAGCCTTTCTTGGTGGGACGTACGAGCGGCAGCAAAGTTGCGAGCAGCCCATAGGTGCACGCAGAGGTGGCAGAAAGCTGGGCATGATGGGATATCTGTACTCTGACTGTGTGTCCTCTTCCTTCCTGTCAGGGGTTTAAAGATAATGTTTATCGCCAGCGCAGGAAGTACTTTGTGGAAGTGGCCATGAATTATAAGTTGTAAGTATGTCCGTTCTTTGTGTTTTCTCGTGTTTCACCTCTCACGTGTTTCACGTCTCACGTGCCCCTCCCCCCACAGCGGGCAGCCCATCCCTCGTATCGAGTACACGGAGGAGGAGGTGAAGACGTGGGGCGTGGTGTTCAGAGAGCTGACCAAACTGTACCCGACTCACGCCTGCAAAGAGTACCTGAAGAACCTGCCGCTGCTCACTAAGCACTGTGGCTATAGAGAGGACAACATCCCGCAGCTGGAGGACGTCTCACTGTTCCTCAGAGGTACGTCTCACCTGAGTCCAGGTGAGCGGCTTACCTGGACTCAGGTGACCCATGAGTCATATTACAGATTCTGCTGAAACATGAAGCGCCGTTGGTCGCTGCCCCGCCTCTTTGATGACATAATCCCTCCGCGGTGACGTTTTTTGATGGATGAGAACGGACCAGAGCTGAACAGGGTGATGACCTCACTTCCTGTGTGGCTTCCTGTGTGTTTCAGAGCGCTCTGGCTTCACCGTTCGCCCGGTGGCAGGTTATCTGTCTCCCAGAGACTTCCTGGCTGGTTTGGCCTACAGAGTCTTCAACTGCACTCAGTACATCCGGCACAGCACCGACCCGCTCTACACCCCCGAGCCGTGAGTACCTCCACCTCACACCCACCTTTCATCCATCTGTAGTTTGATGAGTTTGATGATCTCAGCATCACGCAGACAAAGAGGTGAAATCCACTCTGTGTATTCAGTAGTTGTAGTGATCTCCTCCTCCTCCTCCTCCTCCTCCTCCTC